ATCTCTTTTTCTTCGATACTTTGTTGTCTTCGACATTGTCTCGTCATGTCAGTTATATTTTATGCTGTACGCTTTAGTTCTTTAGGGTTCTGCTTAGGATCCAGCTTTAAGCTGCTGCTTTTTTTTGCTACGCGTAAGTTTTCGTTATACCATAATTCTGATGGTAAGTTATATGACAGATTTGCATATCATAACACAAGCATGGATTTTGTGACGCAGTTTCGTAAAATGGTTTGTTTCTTGACAATTCAATTAGCGTACGATCTTGGATTTTGTTTGTCGAATGACTTCGTTTGAATTCACAGATTGATTATGCTGTAATCGGTCTGACATTATACCGATTGAACCAAGCGATAATAAATTTCTAGTCATACTGTGTAGTTGATTAGTTGTTTTTGACGCCATTGCAGTTAAGCGTGCCGAGTCCTCCAATTATGCTTTTCTGCCGTACGCTTATTTCCATCTTTTGCTGTGGGTACTCATCTCTACCTGGTACGTGCACGATATTTCTTAAATTGCCTAACTACTTCTTGCTAGCTTTCTAACGGATGAGCGATAAAATCTTCCTCTGATCTCTATGGCAGTGATACTCTTTCGATGGCATGCGGTATGATAGGTAAAGACTACTTTCCGTAACTCTCTAACGATGGGTTTATTTGAGCTAGAAGTTACTCGCTACTGCCCTGAGGGTACTATGCTTTTGTGACAGTGCTTACAATTCTTTTATCCTTAATCCAGGGATGAATTGGTGGATCTAACCAAAACAGTCCGACGGGCAAGTATTCTCTACGTATTAGGAAATTTAAACTTGAGTAATTCCTCCACCCTTGTTTATGGCGGTTCAGCTGCTTTTAAACTTGCGGCTCAGTACGCTGTGTTGGCCACGTGGGGGCATGATTTCAGTAAATCATTACCAGGGTAGTTACGGGTTTTAGTGAATGTGTAGGAACAGCAGTACGCAGAAGTTCACTTTTTCTGCGGGGGGAGAGGGGGTGAGGCAGACTAACTATTGATGTAAGCGGGACGATTGCATGGCGAGTGGGTTTCTACCTCTCAGGTTCTTAGATTTACAAAGAGCAGTAACACTATGGGTCACTGTGAAGCTAATTTTATAAAGCTGTATAAAGTAAAAAGAGGTCAGCACTGGACTGTTGGGAATTTAGGAAGGTCCAAAGACAAGTCTGAAACTGTTGCAGATGAAATTAGTGGAGTCAAAAACCCTAGGTGCAAAAGTAAGGTAGGCTGACGGTAAAAAAATGAGCACACTCAATCATAATAGCGTTCTGTTCTGTATCTTCTGTAGAAAAAGACTGATGGGTATATCTATACACCTAACTTCATGAGTGCTGAATGAAATTGAGTGTAAAATTTTGTTTAAAAAATTTGACAAAAACACTGGTTTTGTTTTGAGCACACCATTAATTATAATAGCGCCG